TTTTTTTTTTTTTGGAATTACAAAGTTGATTTGTCACAGAGAAAACAATAAAGGTGACGGAAATTGAGAAATTAAAAATGGCTGGGTAAATGGGTGAGTGAGTGAACAACTGAGTGACTGCTGAGTACGGATGAATAAGTTAATTACAGTGCCGGTTCCCATAACTTTAAGAAAACAAAGCTTATAATCAATGTTTGGCAATAGAATGGAGTGGAAGAAGAGAAAAAACGTTAAGGAGAAAAGTGATCCTACGAAAACAAACAAAAAATTTAAGTCGATTTTTTTTCCTTGCTTTTCTTTTCTGACGTATGTATTCATATTCAACTGATCACATCGTATTCATTTACCTAATCGTTGATTTACTGCAGTCAATGCGGTTTGGAAACCATTTGTAAAAGTTGAGAAGCTATGACCATCTGGAAGCATAAAAGACTCTTATGATCAGTATTTGCATTTTTTTGCTCAACTTATGTCAACTAGAATTTTTTTGCATTGCTTACCAGATACTGTTTTTTATATTCTGCTTACCAGTTGTTCGATAATGGTAATAGATGGTGAAACAAAATTATTGTTTTTTTTTTTTTTTTTTGATTTATCTTTTCATCTAAACGATTTTTTTCAATTGTATTGTTCTTGAGCAAACTGAAAAAAAAAGTAACCGGATACAAAAGTAATAGTAACTGGTTTTGATGTACACACTGCTAACGATAAGTTTACACTTAAAATTTTATACCTATAATATTTGAAAAATATGTAGGACAAATTTTTTTCTTTTGATTAAGGGTATTTTAGTTTTGAAAGTTTCAGTTTGATGATACTTGGGAAAAAAAGAATTATTAGATATGTTTGTGCGTATATGTTTAGAAGTTTCGTTTTTTTTTTTTGTTTTGATGTGATATATCGTGTTGTTTCGCTAATTTTCAAAAAACACTACACTTTTTTTGGGATAAATTTTTTCACTAATTTTCAGAATGAGAATTTTGGCATTAATACTATTATTGTATTCATGGCATACAACGACAACGGCAATGCGATCCTCGATGAACTATAATCCAATTGGGTCTCATCCCAAGCTTTATGTTCCCGGTGTCGATCCTATTATGCATTTAGACGCTGTTACTTTCGACGATACGGTCTTTAACCAAAATCGAGCATTTATGGTGGAATTTTATGCCGACTGGTCAGTTTGTCAATGATTTTTGTTGCCATCTTTTTTTTTTTTTATTATTATTCTGCTTTTAGCTTGACGTTCAACCAGCCTTAGGTCTAACCTTTAATCTCAAAAATCTGTGACGATAATTGTATTGATTTGATTAATACAACAACTAAATTGATGATTTCTTACACTGTTCCCAATATTTCTTCTTTTTTTTGTGCTGAAATAAAAAAATACTGCGCTACAGCGAGAGCAAAAATGAGGCAAGTGAATTGTGGTAACAATTTAACTACAAAATATATTATCTCCAAAATACATATACAGTTGTCTTTTTCCTATGCTATACCGATAGAATCTTATTTGATGGTACTGTCACTGGCACAGGAAAAAAACAAAAAAAAAAAAAGAAAATCTTGTTGCAGTGGAAACGGCGAAATAGCTGAAAAAGAAAAAGATAAAGTAGTGCTCTTCATGAAACCAAGTTTGTTCAAGCAGTACAATTTTTACCCTCGTCAGCCAACATTCTTTTACTTGCCTATTTTCAAAGATCATTTTTCTTTTTTTTACCTGCATAATGTATGATATTGATGATGATGTTGTTACTGTTACTGCTACTGGTGGTGATGATGGCAACGATGATACCTGTTGCACAAAACAACGTTAGCAAACAAGGTTTAGTTAGATGACGATATCGACTAGAAAAAAAAAAAAAAAGAAGCAAAGTAGTGGAGAAAAAAAATAAAAACTAAAACGGTTGAAAATTTTTCGTACCAAAGTTACACGCTTTTGCAATTTTTAAGCTAAATATTTGTTTACCTAACATTCTTATTATTGCCTTTTTTTTTCATTCAGTTTTAATGGGTTTTTTTTGGTGTTAAACTGAGCAACAAATATAACTCTTTCTAGGAAAAGCTCACTTAAGTTTTAAAATAAATATTATAAATCAGCTTAAATGACAATAATGTTAGATTTAATCTACACAACAATACAAATTTATGTTCGGATCTTTGATCATGTCAAAAATTATCATCGATAACAGTGCATAAAATTTTTTTTTTTCTTTTATTATTTTTGTGTTCTTCTTTTACTCGCTTTTTCTTCTTCCTAAGTTATCGATAACGAAAAAAAAAAATTACTGTATATTTAATAGGCGGCTAATGCAGTTGGCATAAATGTGCTGTCTGAAATTTCCAGTTGTAAATGGAAGTTTTGAATATGAAACTATTCAACTGATACGTTTTCAAGTGTTGACCCTTCTATACTGTGTATTGCACAGTTCTTCAGTTATACTTTAAAAAAAAGTTTTTTATCTTCTTTTTTGCTCTTGGCTGAATCCTAAAAACAGAGTTCGGACGAAGGGCATAAAAAGCAAAAAGTCTTTTTTTTGATTGATCACAGGCACAGCGGTTAGAATAAAGCTAAGGTTTACTTCGTTTTTTTTTCTATTGTTTTTTGGTATAGCGGTACAGTGTCATAGCAGATTTTCACGACATCTTTCTTCTCATTGTTTCACACGGTTTTCTTTTTTGCTTTTTTCTTAGCAACAAAAGAATTTGTTGATAAAGGAAACGTAGGAATGGGCAGTAAATGAAGTACTGTAAAAAACAAAAAAAAATTTTTTTTTGTTAATCCCGATATTTTCGAAAATTCGTTTTTTTTTTTTTTGCAGAACTGATCAATTCTTTTTTTTTATTTCTTCTTTTTTTTTTTTCTTCTACTGTCAATCTCAGCCAAACCAATTCTGTCATTGATTATATGCAACAATTTTGATTTAAAGGTTTACCGTTGAAAAATAAACTTTTTTTTATTTGTCTATTTACTTTGACTTTTTGCGAGGAAGAAAAAAAAAAATAAAACTTATTTTTGATTCAACGGTAAACGATGTTTCTACCTTTTATTTTTATTTTCGTTTTTTTGCTAACATCTTTAAAAAGCTTTCATAAATCTGTCAGATGTATGTTTCGACTAATATATTATCTCTAAACTTACAAAAAATTTTATTTTTCGTCAAAATTTTGTTTAATTTTCAACTGCTTTTGAGCACCATTTTCCACATTTTCAGTCTGCCATTTTTATTTTTATCTCTTCCTTCCTTTTATATAACCCCAACCATAGTAAATCAAATTATAGCCAAAAATCAATGCTTTTTTTTTCCAGAATTTTTTTATTGCTTTAAACTTTGGTTTTGCTGGTTGTAAAAAAAGCAAAATTTATTTTGCAAATATAATTACGTTTCAGTGAAAAAAACGAAATACAGCTTATATAGAGTCAAATTTTATTAACCCTTAGAGAGTTTTAAGGTCTGTGAGGGTTCGCAGTTGGTCTCTGAGACAAAATAGTTCTTTACAATAAAACTGTGCCAAAACTTTACAATAAAACTAAGTAAGGGTTTGCTAACCAAACATGAACTTGACCATTTTTCAACAAAAGTCTTTTTAAGTTTCTTTATTCCTGAATTGCTTAAGCATAGGTTCGCATCATTGTTTTAATACCAAAATCTATCACTTTTTTTGGATGGTTTTTACAGAATAAACTGTATTTTAGCAATTGTTACTAATCTTAAAACAAAAATGTTGCTGTAATCACTTCTACGTTAATTAGCATAATACTTTTAAAAAAAGATTGGAAAATCAAGAAGCAGTTCATTTTAATAGATAATTGTAGTTATTGTTTCGTTCTGTTTTAAGGTGCGGTCACTGTCGTGGATTTGCGACATTCTTTCGAGAATTTGCGCATATAGTTGAAGCATGGAAGTCGATTGTCCAAATAGCAGCTATCAATTGTGCAGATCTGGAAAATAAGGATGTTTGTAGCCAGCAGGGTATTTCCGGTTATCCAATGTCGAAGGTGAGAGTTGTTGTTGCTTATGTTCCACTGAAATTTGGAGCATTTCAAAATACGTTGATAGAAGAATAATGATTGCATCTCAGGTTTAGTTGGTCTTTCTTACGTAATTGTTGCCAAAATACCCATGCCAACAAACTGCCTTTCCCCCATGACTCCATTCTGTAGACAACAGTGATTTATGCGTTTCAACAGAAACACCTGATATTTTCCGACTCAAAAAAAATTTATAAAAAGTGTCAGGATAAAGTTATACTCTGTCAGATACAGTAAAATTTTCGTTATAATCGCAGCAGCATTTCGAAAATAAGACTAGCAATTTATTATTGAAATATAGGTTGACAATTTGGAAAAGGTGGTTGAGGCAAAAAAGAAAGTTTTATATTTACGTTAGACGAAAAAAATTGGCATTGGTATTTGCCAATCATGCCCTTTTTTTGTTCTGCAAAAATCAATCCATGTTTTTGAACAACCAGAGATCACTGAAGGTTTAAAAGTGATAATTCTTGTAAACTGGCATGAAATTCATCTCTAAAATTTTACATGATTCAAAAAAACTGAAAGTTTCAATACGACTGTTGAAACTTGCTACTGCTTCTAAAGCTGTGAACATAAGTGTTTATGAATACATTGCTAGATAAATACTTGAGAACATTTGATTACCTGACTTTAAATATGACGTTTAAAATAAGGAGAGCAAATTTTAATTGCATATTTCGTGCCGTTTTGCAGTTTCGTTTACTACTCAAAAATTACTGTCACCTAATTTCAGTTCTGTGTTCGTATTTCAAATATCAGCAAAAATATATCCTTCTAAAAGCAAAAAATTATGTATTTATATTTATAGCGCAGTATCAAATAAGTGTAATTATCTAAGCTGTTTCAATTTTTTACACTTTTTTTGCACCAAGTACGAACATTTCATTAAAGAAACTAATGTTGTAAACAACAGACTGAGAAATTTTTGTTTTATTTTCCAGTATTATCCACGTAATGCGAGAAGTTCACGTGATGCAGTTTTATTGGATACTGTTCATTCCGTCCCACGTCTTAAATCGCAACTTGCTCGAATGATAATAAATGAATATAATCGTTATCGATACAATGACTGGCCAAATTTCCAGATGCTTTACAGGTGCGAACCTTTGTAGATAGTGAAGAAATGATTAAAAGAAAAAAAAAAGAAAAAATGTTTGTATACTTGAGCTATTTTTATTAGTATTGAAGAAATTAAGCATACAATATAAATAGCTGTTTAGTCGAGCTACTGAACATGCACTATGGGATGGAATCTCACCATATGCAACTATGATTGCTATACTTGTTGAACAGTATGACAACATTGGAACACAGTTTATACTCGACATGTTACCATATAAAGATCAAGTTGGTGCAAGACGAGCGATGTCGTCATTCGCGCCAGTTAGAAATCTTCGAGTTCCATCATACCCGTATGTCATTGTGTTCCGTCGCGGTAATCAAGATGAGCCAGTACTAGCAAAGCCGTAAGCAGTTTAATTTGAAGACACTTAATTTAGCAAGTAGACCTCAGTCACTGTTCCATTTGGCTGTAATTTACTTCTGGTATTTTAAAGAAAGCAAATAATTAATTATGTATAAAGTTAACGAAGATGATGGAAAGCAAAAACATTTTCAAACCGTAAATGAGGAGTTTGATTTCAGATACGATCCAACTGTCATTGACGAAATAATTGATACGTTATACCACAGAGCACCAACAACTACAACATACACACCACCTACCACTCCTAAGATACCTGTCGTTGATTGTGACAGATATCCAGAGAGGTAACAGTTTGATTTTGAGAAGTACATAAAACGTCAGTCGTTACTTTAATTAACCTTATGAAGAGTACCTCCGCAAGAGCAAGTTTATAAGTTTTTAGACGACTGTTCTCTGTTTCAGGTGCCGTAGTTTGTACTATGCATCAGAAACTGATATGTTGAAATCAATGCGAATGGCATTATTGGACGAAATTATTCGAACCAACGACCTAATTACCTACGACAATTTCACTGCATTATTTAACTTTGTTGACCTTCTTGCTGAGGTTCATTTCTTTATACTTTCGGAAACAAATAAGGTTTTCAAGTAGTTTAGCTTCATACCACAGCAAAGTTTCCCCACTCGTTCAGTATCACTATTTTCCATCATAATTATTTAGAGAAAAAATCACGAAAATATTATTGTAGAAGTCCAATAACTTCTTTCTTACGCTTCTGCCATTTCAGCATTATCCGGTAATTACATTTTCATCAAATACAATATATCGCAGACACGCTCGACAAGCTCCGATTGTAAGTTAAAAATTTCCAGCATTAAGTGAATGAGAAGTGATGTCAAAAAAGTAATAATGTTTTAAGTTAACCGCTTTATTATTTTCCTGTCTTCTACTGAAATATGAAGTATGAAGCTAAAAGACAGATAATTATAAGCCTAGCTCTTCTGCACGCTCCTTTTAAGTCACAAAAATTTCATCAAAAATTGCAAACGTTTAACTATGACGATAGTGAGGCATCAATTGTTAATTTCAGATGTTGAAAAACAGTCAAAAAGCCCGATTAGTTTTTCAACAATTACGACAGTTCTTATATTCTAAATTCTCACAGCATGCTGTTTCACCGCAAGAGTGGGAAAAACAATTCTTGAACGTTGAGGTAAGAAAAAAGCAATTTTTTCATTTATTTTAAAACATGCATTTTTTATATAGATTTAAATTTTCGTGCCGGAAGGTTTTCAGAATCGCAGCTTTTTAGTTTTTAAAAAATATTTGTTTTTATAAAAAATCCTAATGCTGACGTTTTCTAAAGCAAACAGCGCTAAATCTTAGAATCTAAAAAATTCTTGAAGGCCAGATTTGAAAAAAAAGAGGCAATATTGTTTTGACTTTCTAAAAACTTTTTATGAAAAAAGCTAATTTTTTCTTAACACGTCATAATACACTAAAAAAGAGCCCTGCACCAGAGGAATATTGACAAAATTAATTTTCTGGTACTTAAGGATTCAAAAAAAAAAAAAAAAAAACTATTGGTGTCGAATTTTAAAAGATCATGTCTAATTTGTGACTTTTAGCGGCTTTACGATTACCCCTTCCCAACAAATGCGTCCTGGCAACACTGCAAGGGAAGCTTGCCGAAATACCGTGGCTATACATGTGGCTTGTGGACTGCATTCCATGCGATTACTGTGCACACTTATATGGATACAATCAAGGAGAACATCGACCCCTTAAAGCCACTAAACAGTATCAAAGGATGGGTTGAAACATTCTTTGGCTGTACACATTGTGGGCGACATTTTCATAAGATGACCACCAAAACATTCCCACTGAATTCAAGACGGGTATGAATTTTTAAGATTATCTTCACTTCTTCGACAAAGCCCAGTTGTCTTTTAAATGTGCTAGCTGAGTGAATTACCAGTATACTACATTATAATTCTAGTTTTCCAAAATTCTTTAAATATTGTGAAACTTGATAAACTTGGTTTTGCACATAACTTTAATGCGGATGCAACAGCTTAACAGCTGTTTCTCTACTGTTTAGGTGCGCCGAGGGCGTGACATGATGTTCTATCTGTGGCGAGCCCATAACATCGTCAACGCAAGGCTTCATGGTGACACCACCGAGGACCCTCAGTTTGAAAAACGACAATTCCCGCCGATGTTCTTGTGTCCTACCTGTTACTCCGGTGGGCAATTCAGTAGACGACAAGTACGAAACTTCATGCTACGTTATTATGGTGGCATCAGACCTCATTATCGCCTACGCAGACGTGTTTCTAGAGGCTAAATTTATAAACATTTTATTCGTGAGTATAGAAGTGTCAAAAATTTGCCACAATCAGTTTTCTAATATTGACTGTTAATGTTCATCACCTGAATTTCACTAATCATTTTTGAATTTGCGGTGAGGCAGTATATCTGCTGTATAGGTAGAGGTTTCCCCCCACGTCTCCTATGTTCTTCTGTGATATTTTCAGCTTTTGTTTCTCCATATTTTGCATTTTTCCTGATACTCCTTAGCGCGCTGCATTCATCAGTTACGGTTGACTTAGACAATGGTTGTTTCAGTCTAGTGACTTGACCTTTTTGTAGTTCAGTAAATATGATTAGTATTAATTTCCAAAATTCTATCTGCTTAGCGGCCGGCATATTTAGGAACTCTCCAGCCTAGGGATAAAACGTAATATGAGAGTTTCTTAAAGTGAAGTGATGGACAACAGGATTTTAATACAACATCTGAAGTAGAGGAAACTGCCACACTGATAAGCATTACCGGTCGTTTTACCGAACTGCAGCGCGCTCGTTGGACCTTTACTCTTCCATTTGTTTGTTTTCTCCTTTATAAAAAGTTTCCCATTTCAGGGGAATCCCAAAACGGGTATTTACGTGTGTATTGTGTTTCCCTTTTCAAATGCTATTATTTTTATTGTTTAATTATTCATATTTGTGTACAGAAATAATATAGCTTGAAAAGTGTTTCTTAAAGCACCTGTTGTCTTATCTAACTGTTCCGGTTGCCGCACACTATGAGTACAGTATACCATGAACAAATTTCACCGTATCGTAAGACTGATGGATTATGTTAACTGATTTGACACTACCGCAATTCACACTCTTCAAAGTACACTCTTCCTGATGCTATGTCATCTAGTAAAAATTCCAATTTTTTTCAACCACTAAACTTTTTTCCATTGTTGCTTTCATTCAAGCACACAATCAGTAGACTGGAAATCCTGAAAATCGTTTGTACTCTTACCTTACTTTTCAAAAGCGCGGTTTACTGTTTTTTTATGACCTGGTTTTACGCTATGGTTCTCATGAAACGATGGCGTAGTGCTTGCGTTGGTGTTTTGAGACTGTAATTTCGTAACTCTCAAACACACCAACCAGTTAATTTAAATAGATGGCGGCTGCTCGCGAAAATTGGGGTGAAGAGCAAGTTCAAAATGATGTCGGATGAACGTAGATCATTTGCGGATTGCTTGTAAGGTAGGCTTAAGGCGGAAGAAAATTTTTGTTAAACACTTGCTAATGTTGATGTTCCTCATCGAACACAGAAATTTCAGCAAAGCTATACAGTAAAATTTGATAACGAACTCTTAAGTGTTGGTGCAGGTAGAACAAAGAAATAGAATTGCGTACTCACACAAATGAGCACAGCTCAAAAAAAGCACATACAAAGCTGGAACAAAATCGTAACTGTAGATTCTTTGTGCTTTATTTTTTATAAAAAAAAAGAGAATTTCCCTTTCGGGAGGTCAAAAGGCGGATTTCAAAGGAAAACTTTGTTCATTATTATATGTTCTTAACCATTATAAGAATTGGAATCGAAATTGTCAACTTTTGAATAGTAACATTCTTTATTATTATTTGGTACCTATATACTGAACGATTGCGATTTAGTTTTGTGCTAAATACTCAAATCTGTTTTCAATTCTTTAAGTGGAATCCTTTCTAAGATGAGTAAGTTGAAAGATTAGTTGCAAATTTTGTGCTTTCCAAGTTAGAATAGTTTTGATGTCTATCAGTTTTTCCTAGTCATCTTGTCTCTCTTGTTCTCTTATTATCTTTCAGCTTTCGTTAAGTACTGGAGCAAGATGAACAGATTAATATTGTTCTACATTTGCATTTTTCTTTCTTGGAAAAGGACCATTATTATTGTCTTAGAAGTAAAGTTTTTCTCATAGAATAAAGACAATTCTCTTACTGCTTTTCCCTCTACCTATATATAAGTAGCCATTGCAGTACAATTAGAAACAAGAAGTGAGATTATTAGGGGCTCAATATAAGAGAGCTCTTTAGATTACGATTATTTTACAGTATTTCATTAAAAAAGAAATTAGCTGTAATAAGAGGGTTTAGTTAAGCCAAAATTTAACTCAATTTGAGGTTACTGTAAAAACTATAAGTTCCGCTACAGCTAAATCAAAAGCATTTGTTTGAGAACTATTTATAAATACTGCTTCTCTTTTCTTCATCTTCCCTTTTTTAACATTTGCATTTTTGAAAGTCCTACGACAGCTTCAGATGTTTCACTACTTCATCTAAAATCAAGCATAACTACAGCGTGTTTAGGAACAGGGTTTAAAAAAACGTTATTTTTTACGAAATAATTGCAGTTTTTATCTATTTTTGACTTTAAGAAGTAGATAGACCGTAACTGTTCTATGCCCAGTTGAGTTCTGTGCAAATGCGATGGTTTGTACCTCAGTAAAGAATCCCAGGAAGGAAAGTGACGTTTTCACTCTGAAAAATTGTTTAGCTTTACCACTATTGTGCCTCCTCTCAAAAGGCGTCGTAAGGAAATAATTGTAGATTACTATTGCAACTACCGGCAGTTCTCTTAATTGCGGAGCGGTTTGCTTCTCCATATAGCGTCCATATGGGGATCCGAATTCTTAAAGTGAAATCAATTTGCTGCAAACGGTTGTAGTTGTCAGAGCTTGCTAGCTAGCTAGATAACTATGCAGTAACTATCTCAAATAACTTATTATCTTTTACGGATCTCAGTGGTACCCTTATGACTGTAGTTAATTTTGACGTAGAACAGTAACTTATTTATAGTATTTATTAACACGTAATGATATAACAATATGGAAAGATTGCGAGGCACTTGCCAGGATCCT